TAAAATAAATTACAAGGTTCAAACAGTGCTCCGTTTACCAAGCTTTGGTTTCAGTAACCAGGTAGGATAGGTGTGACTCATCAACCGTTTACTGCCCCAACCTGTAGGCAGTCAGCGACAGACATTTTTCGTTCGACATCAAATCGATAAGAATCCTTCTCATTGCTGAAATTTATGCCCAGTCAAATCATCCACTACGAAAGTTTTTTATTACACATGAACAGCAGAGATACAGATAATTATTTCAACAAGAAGTCAGCCACTCAAAGAATGCTGACAGATTACACAACATTAAAGTGATGAAATGAAGGAGAATGATGAGAATGGTATCGCATAAAAGTTATGCATAACACGAGAATGAAGATGAAAGAAAGGAGATAATGTATGAAAACGATTAAACTTACTCAACAACATTAATCTATACTCAATACAAACAGATATGTTAAGCATTTATGAACTGAATTAACTAGTGGATTATGTAAGCAGTTGAATGGATTAGTAGTAGTAATCCTTTCAAAACTGTATTGAAAACAAATTGGAATCCACCCAAGTAGCTTGCGTACATTCGTGTAGTAAGTGGCAATGATCCACACACCTATAGTGTGTGTATGTGTGTAGGGGTTGGCGATAACACTTGTCTAGCTGTCATAAACCGCCTCAGTAGGTAAAGCGAGGTTCGAACCCGCGACTGACTCATTGGTTGGTACTTAACTCAGCAGACCCATGAGTCACAATTCCATAATTGTACAGTTTCAATCAAATGAATTACCACTTGACTATAGTTCGTAGTTTGTAGACTGTAGTTTGGCAGACTAGCATTGATACTGGGTGATGATTGAAGGTGAAATGAAAATTTTAACCGCAGCCGGATTCGAACGAGTGGTCACCGTCTCGATGCTCTATCAGATGGGCTACAAGGTTTGACTGCTGACCAGATTTTGATTTCACTTTAATCAGTTAGATTTGGATTTAGATGAGAAGTTCTGACTGCGAACAGCCAGTGCGAATAAGGTCAAGCAGTAGTAATGCGTCACGAATTCACATGGTAGCCATGCAAAACCCTGCCTTGTGATTGCAGTGAAATAAAAATCTGGTCAACAGTCGGACCTCGTACGTCAGTTGGTAGAGCACTGGAACGAAAACTTGGTGATCGCTGGTTTGAATCCGGGTGCGATCTGAATTTTCATCTCACCTCCAATCACTATCCAGTACAGATATATTAAGCTAAGTAAAGATATATTTAGGGGGTATTTTAGGATGCTAGTTGTATTTGAAGGCCTTCATAGTGATCTTGACCAGTTCCCATGGAATTTCAGGAAGTCATAAGTGGAACCGGTCTGCGTATGTCAATATCATGGAAGTTGCTTTATGAAAAAATCTGGTTTTCTATCATGGCTTTAGTTAGCCAGATGCATCTTCAAAAGCGGGCAAAATAAGTGGGACATGATACGAATCAGAAATATTCTAGGCTACTCACCAATCTACTATTCTACTTCATGAGTTAAACAAGCTGACTGTTAGCTACGTTTTACTATAACTTATGTATTATGGGATATAAGACATGTAACCATCTGTTCTACATCGAACTAGGTGCGAAATGATGTGTCGAAAAAGTCAACACATACTGAACGACATAGAAAAAATACCTAACCAAAAACTGCCTAGAAACACATAAATTTACGTAAAAGATATATTATCAGTTTACCTGCAGTTTGGTGGCTAAACTTACATCATTGATATTGATACTGAGTGGTGATTGAAGTCGCCTTTAATGAAAATCTGGGCTACAGCAGGACTCAAACCAGTGACCTATGGGTTATCTGCCCCTTGCTATACCAACTGAGAGCCACGAGATCAGGCCGATGATTAGATCTTAATTTCACTTCAATTACTAAAGGTTTTCCTCACCTTCTATGTGGACTCATGACGCATAACTCTCCTTTGATCGAGTTGAATTAAAGACGTGAAAGCGTCATATTGATTATTAATGACTGTGAAACCATTTGAAATACTCGTAGTCTAGATAACTATGTATCACAGACTAACACAGTAGTCGAGTCTTGTAGCTGAGTTGGTAAAACATCGAAACGGTAAACAAGAGGCCAGTGATTCTACTCTTGTCGCTAACCAGATTTTACAATCATCCATCACTCAGTATCAAAAATAATCTAGCCAATAGGAAGACAAAGAGAACTCCCCATCAAATTATTAAACATATTCATGTGCTAAAAAAAACAAATGGTAAATATATGTCAGCTAATTCAATCATGCACAATCATTAACGATCCAGGATTAAACTTAAGAAGAAAAAAATGAAGAATCTAAGCTCATTAATTGCTAGGCATATTATTACTCGGGTGACCCTTTAGGATTAGACCATATGTCGAGGATATTCTTTGTAAAACTACACTTTCAGGACTGTTTAAATGATCAATCAGCTTTCTTTATTTCAACTGAGAAGGCTGTTTTTTCCTAAAAAATAAATTATAAAAATACCAATTGGTTGCTTTCAGTAGTGTTGTGTTAGAATGACTTTTAGAGTTAGTCATTTAAGCCCTTAGGAGGATTACACCAACTTGATGTGTGTTCGAAAGCAATTCGTCATCAGGTTAAACGATTGACTCTAAGGGTCGTCCTAACAACTACTACTGAAGCAACCAGTTAAACTTCTCCATTTGACTTCCCAATCGAAGTGAAGAAGCCTAATTGACTAAAACCAGTCGTTCCTTGGATGACCGTCAGTCACAATGGTGATTTTTTTTCACCTTCTCCATTCACAAATAATCACTTTTCTACGCCATGACTCTATAATGTTTGAAAAATACGCCTATGACAGGTATCTGTGTGATCAAATTGTTCGAAATATGCTATGCAAAAACATTCATTCAAGGAAGTATATACAAGAGACTGACATCAGGTAGAGAACCTGAAGAAGCACTGGACAGCTATCTCATCGGAGTGCACGTCTCTTCAGCAGCACTTGTTCTCAACTCTATCAGGAATCGAACTCAGTCCATGATAACGACTACTTCGAAATAATATTAGAAAAATCTACATAAACTTTAAAAAAAACTGTGTTTGTGGTAATTTAGTCGGTTGTAGCTAGCAAAGGAATCTAGGACACGCGCTTCGTCCTATTCGAGACTTGCCAGCTGGATGCACCTGCAACCCAGTGCCGAGCGACGTTACTCCCACCACGACTCGAACCCCGTACTCATTGCTCTAAATGCCAAAGCGTTATCCTCTAAGCCACGGAGGCACAATAGCAACCTCTTGTACAACGAATATTAGTCATTACTATTTATTGGTATACTTGTAATTCTTTGTTGTTTTATTGGATACAACAAGCGGTTATCGTGCCTCCGTGGCAAAGTAGATCACGCCTTAGCATTTGAAGCGATGGGTACGAGGTCTGAGTCTCAGTGAGAATAACATCACTCCGCGCTGGAGTCCAGATTCATTCGGCTGACGAGTCCCAAATAGGACGAAACGTGCGCCCTAGATTCTTCTGCTAGCCACAACCAACCAAATCCCATAACATTCAGGCAATATCGAGGCATTCGCATAAGAGCCCAAATACCAACAGAGGTCGAACAATCCGGCCCAATAAAACAACGGAGAATTACAAGTATACGAATAAATAGTAATAAACTGTGATTTTCTGATTAATAGCTCGAAATTTTAAAAGAAAGCTAATTTTTAGAAGGATAGTTAGCCAGAAGAAACTTAGACTTTGACAACTTTTATAAGCCCATTTTTGTGTACATAAAAGTTTTAACAAAGAAAAAAAAGCAGACAACGACAACAACAAACACGCTAATAAGGCAAACAGAAAAGACAAAATTGATCTATATATATATATATATATATAATATAATATGTAATATTAGAAAAGTTACCAAATCACTTAGTTAATAACACTGAGGCATAATAAAGAAACAGGGATGGGCTCGGATGGGATACAACAAATCTAAAATAGCCTTACGGGTTAGATTTAAATCGATTTCAGATAGAATCAAGGATTAGTTAGGTTAATATACTTCGAAAGAGGCATGGGATCAGGTGCGCATACACACATACAGGCGTAAAAACATCTCCCACCATCCCAGTCATCCTCTCGAGTCAATTGATGATATAATCAGATTTAGGAGAAAAAAAAAATTTCATCAGGTCAATTACACAAATATAATAATATATGAAAAACCATTAAAGAAAAGTCCCTCACAATAAAATCCCTAGATAAAATATAAGCTGTAGCGAATAAAAAGGGACGGGGAGGCAGAATAAGAATAACTATGAGGCAATACATTGTGAAAGACATTGATTGATACAGAATCAAAGTCAATGTTTATTTTGGCAGACACACACACACACACATCCAACCGACTTGCTATGGGTCCCTTCAAAGGAGTATTGGTTACACAAGGATAGGGAACAATGAAACAAAAAGTGACGCGCAGATACACAGAGTTGACAGTCCCAGTTACATACATATTGACGAAATTTGGTTGAAAAAATCTCTGTTGATTATTTTTTTTTTACCAGGGAATAAGTGACAGGGAAAAAAAATTTTTATTAAAAAAAAATAATTCAGATTTGTTGGCAGATTGTTCTAGGTTTTGGTTACCAAGGGAATGTAATCGAACAAGTGAAGAGATATGCAAAAAAGAATCATTAATAAACAAAGAACAAACTCTACAACAAGTAAACTAGGAAAAAAAAAGAAACCATAGAAAACATACCACAAAAAGATTAATCAACTAGTCAATCAGGATATAATTAGCATTTTGTTTGATGATAAATGTGCGCTAAATTATATTGAGTGCGCATGGGCAAGCATGTGAATATGAAAAGAGTATTGAACATCGATAATGACTATCACAAAATTCGCTTTTCCCGCCATGAATTATCAGATGAAATAATTAAAACAAAATTGTATCATACAGTCAATTTTGTAAATATACAGATTATTCGATTAGACAGTTTCAAATCTCACACCCAAAAAGAAAAAAGAACTAGTAAATAGATAGGAAACAGATTGGAAAAAAAAAGAGAAGAGAAGAGATACTGAAAGACATTATTGGATATTGGCTTCTTGAATAGGTAGGCATACGCGCACCTACATGCCAGATAAACGAAGCCAACACATCACAAACATGAAAGGCACACAAAGAATATTATTATGGGTTTTTATGCGGAAAGTCATTGGTGAAATCATACGTAATCGTTTCATCATCATAATCTCGATTTGTTTACCACCAACCACCACCACTGTTACCAACACCAGGACCGTTCCCATTTGCCTGTAGACTATTCGAAGGTGGAAGAATACCCGATATACGTGCATTAATTCCTAATGATGATATTTTAGACAGAAATGATTGAGGTTCAACAGTATTATCTTGTTGTGAACTATTATCGTATGCAGGGAAGTTGTTCATGAAACCGCTAACTCCACTGCTACTGCCACCACCACCACCACCGCCACCAGCACCAACACCCATATAGCCATTACTTTCACGCGGTAATTCCAGGTAATCAGTAAGATTATCAGCTAATAAACGATTACGTAATGTTGCTAAAGTCAAACGAACATCATTTAGTTCAGTTTCTGTTTCATGTGAATGACCGGTTAAACGATCATTTTCCATTTGTAAACGTGTGATTTCTGTTCGAGCAGCTAGAATGCAACAACATACGAAAATATATTGAAGATAACTTTATCATTCATCATTATAATTTTACACTTTATTTATACAACTAAGTATAACTATAAGAAATGTTTTGAGATAGTTTACTTTGTAATATACCGACTGTGGGTACATTAAATTGTTATATAATACCTGTGTTTTTTCGTGGAAATGTTGAATATTCGTTTCACTTCCAACAGATAGACAGACAGATAACATTAAAGATTGAATACATCTTTGCCACCATTGTGACCGATTTTCAACCACATCACTAAGAGTCCTCAACCATTGGTTCCCTTCGTCTTAGAGACCCCACAAAAGGTATTCTGCATCTCTTCATGTACTGCTGCCAACACTTGGCATAGTTATCATCAGGCTTCTACCAATCCAATCAAACTTCTAAGATTATTGTTTATAGTAGCCGATAGCTCAGTATTCGCAACATAAAGATCTCAACTTTACACTTCATACAAGATTCGTAAGCCCAGTGTGCATAAATCTTTACCAAACTATCGGATCACAGATATATATTACTTGCCTTTGTATATCATTCATCATTTACAGTAAATAGCAAACCATGCATGTCTCTTTTGAACAGACCTACAATTCATCTGCTATCAACTGAAAGGGATAGATATAGAAAAGAGAAATCGATATATGTAAACACTCAGCACCGGTAATGAGTTCGATCTATTATGTAGGGGAAAATGATACTACCTGACTGGCTAGACCTAGGTAAGTGGAGGGTGGGTGATGTTCAACAGTCATATAATACATCCACCAATCGTACAGCTGAATACCACTACCAATAAACTACACAATACCATTATCGCAACTGACAAATGAATATGGTGCAGATTTTACTTCCAAAAAATAACAACAACACTGTTAACTTACAGTGCAAAGTCTTTAATAAATGATTTACATATTCAGCAATTTCACGTTTTGTCATATCTAGAAAAAGAAGAAAAATAGGCGAATAAAACATGGACAAGATAGATATTGACTAGAAACATACAAAATTTCAACTATTCTACACCCAAAAGAATCTGTTATCAATAGAAGAAGCGACTGAAAAAGACCTTTAGTAAAACATAGAACTTCCAATAAGGGTAGGAACCAAATACGGTGAAACAACACAATTGAAATATCTAGCGTTGAAGTCGAAAAGTGACTCCATAATCATGTGCACGTTTGTTTATCAACTAGATAATGATCCATATCATTTAATGTTCAGGTTAATTGATATTACCTCATTGAAAAATCCTTCATACCTAAAGCACAGTTTGAAACCATATTCCATGATTGACTCGAAGTTGACAATGTAGATTAATAAAGCTCTCATAGTTCTTCGAAAAACTCCGTAGTCACACTATTCGATGCAAGAAACAAAGATCATTAAGTTGATTTCCTCATATCCAGTCTCCATAACTCTTTAACTTAACTATCGATGACATTCTTCAGACGGTTCTGAATGAAGTGCGTCATGGTGGTGTATATCCACTAACCATGTCGCTATAACGGTTTCTACATCGTTTATTGTTTGTTAACCCTGGAACTGGAAGGAAGAATCGGATGAGACGTAGCCAGTGTATGACGTGACGCCGTGGGATGAAGGTTGGTTTTATTGGATTAGCGTATGTTGATGCATCACGACTCTCTGGGTAGGGTCCAAGAGACTCTGTAACTCATTGGCTTGAGAAGTCATCAGATATGGCTCGGAATCGAAACCAGTGGCAGTCATGCTGCAGCTTCCTCCCATCTGTTGCTTCTGAAAAGCAATGAATGTTTTGTTTAGAATGTCCCTTACTGGACTGTATTTCTAATCATGCTATTCTTATTGTGTTTCTCTTTTCTTACTTATCCACTTCTCATCGCTTGTGTCTTCAATATGTTGTTATAGCATTTTATGTGCTGCATTTCTTTGATACGACTATCCTTAATCCCACGGCATCACGCCATACACTGACTACCTCTCATCCGCTTCTTCCTTCCAGTTCCAAGGTTAGCAAACAATAAACGATGTGGAAGCCGTTGTGGCGACATGCGTCTCACAATTCCAACCCACCGAGGCCAGTGTTTCCAGATGACTTCACTTATTGAATGATTATCTTCATCATGACCAAACATACGCTACCGTACCTCACATATACTTACACGAACAACTTTTCGATTATTTCTAACGGCTCATCATTGAGGGTGAGCGTAGACAGAGATTCTTGGCAATCTTGACAAAGTATTTTGCACTTCAATAATGCGAAGCATATACCATAGTTACGGACACCAATCGCCTACTGATTGAATGCGATTTGAGTAGCGTATATGTTATGGCTCGGTAAAACGAAATCGTCTGCATATTCAAGGTAGAATAAGCATTCTCTGGGTAGTAGATATACACCATCATCATGCATAGGTATACACAGAACTTTCTCAGATCTACGCAAATAGTGGTTTGAAGACTCATATCTTTGTAGTGTTGTTATCCAACAGGAAGTCTTGATTGATCCCGACAAAAAATCATGAACCAGAAGACTAGTTCGTAGAAGTCTCAAGTGAATTGGGATGAATGTACACCTTACGACTTCCTCAATCAATCGAAAGTGTTAAGAAATAGGCGACAATATGACCTGTTTAACACTCGTTAGTAAAATGTAAGCGTTTACAGTCGAGAGTATAATGTAAAGAAAGAAAAACATGGATAAACTGAACATAACAAAATACATTTGACTGTAAATGTTGTTCCAACCCACGAAAACGTGACAATTCGTTTTGTTTTATATCTAGTTAGCACTCATAGCTTCTATATCCGAATACCTACAATCGACAACAGGAAAAAAGCTTTAAAAATCGGCATCATTAAACTTCTGATAAATTGGAACTATCTCTCCAGCTGGTTTGAAATGCCAACGAAAGAAGGAGGACAATACAGCGAAAGAAACTGCAATTTAGTAGCACCAACATTTCAAAGAGACTTCAATTCTACCTCACTTAAGTCTAAATGACAAGACTTAAAAAAATTGAAGTATACTGTAAAGAGTTTACATTATAACTGATTATTGATAAACAAACCTTCAATTGGTTTAATCGGTCGATCGTTAGGTTGAGCATTCCATGTTGATACATGAAAACTACCAGGTGATTCGAAAGCACCTGTTGAAACCTCACCAACTCCATCTGTTCGCTGTTGTATAGGTGTAGCAACACCTAGGGAAGAATTGAAAAGAAGAGAAAATTTCAGAACAAAAATAATACAGTGAGGATAATCATAACGGAACGTATTAGAAACTTCAGAAAACAGTAAAGAAAACTTGATAAGAACTTCAAACTTATAAGTTCTCATTACAGATATTATTATTTGTCCCTTGGGTTCCTAGTGCAACGTAAGACTTCGGCAACACAACTCCTTTCCACTCTCTTCTCAGCAATCTACTGAACCTCACTCCACGATACACTACAAACACTCATTTCTTCCCCACACCATCTCCTTCATGTCTCCCTCACCTCGGACGCCCTACTCGTCATTTCCCATTTGGGTTCCACTCGAGTGCCTCGCCCACCTCGTGATGTCCCCGAATCATCTTCTCACTGTATGCCTAATCCATCTCCACTTCCTTCTAGTGCATATTTGTTCAGTGATAGGTTCTTGCTTCGTTGGTTGATTCCCAGAGTTCCTTGTTGCTCATTCATTCTAACCATCTGAGTTTCAGTATGGAGCCAGTGTAGGCAGCTGTTGATGAACATCTGTAGTTTGTTCGAAACGCCTTTTGTAACGCGTCAAGTCTGTCTCTCAACCATCACATAGCAGTACTGACTTGACTTGACATTAGTGTTGAAAATCCGGATCTTGTTCACGCTTTATACTGAGTGCAGTGCAGAAGATCTCCACACTGGTTTCAGGTTAATGAATGTCTGTCTTGCTGTCTTTCCAATCCTGGCTGCTTTGAAGTCCTCGTCTGTGTCTGTGCCACCTGTAGTTGAAACAATGCTGCCCTGCCTAGGTGGGTGAAAGAGTCTACTTTCTTCAAGTTTTTCCCATTGATGGTGATTAGAGCTTGGTGGTGGTGGTGGTGGTGTTGGTTGGGTATCTTCATCACATCTGTCTTCTCTATATTCACTTGAAGCCCCATATTCGCTGCCTTGCCTCTTCTGTCAACTTGTTAGTTTTTGCCTGTAGATCTTCGAGTTTGTGCGACATTAAACACAAGTCATGGGCGAAATCCAAATCTTCTAGCGTCTTCTCATCGTTTCAGCACATACCTCTCTTCTTGCTCCTCACTGTTGGCTGCGTGATATTATATATATCATTATTTTACTGTAATTTTTAGTGTTATATTACTAAAATATTATCGTTATCTTTACTGTTATTATTATTGATTACAACGTTACTGCAATATCGTTATTGTCACCGATATCATCGTAACTTTATTATGTTATTATTATCATCATAAGAATATATTTTAATATGATACCAGCTTGTTTAGAAAATCAATATTCTGCTGAAAAAGCTGTAGCTTACACAGCTAAATGTTCAGAAGTATCTTGTTCTGATTTTCTGAACACGCTGGGATTATATTAAAATGTATTCTTATAGTGATTAAATCAAACTCGGGGCTTCACTTCTTCCAGGACATTCGTAACAACTACAGTCTGGATGTTTATAATATTATCATCACTGTTATTGCTATTACAATATTATTGTCATCATTATTGTTATTGTTGTTGTTTTTACCATATTATTGTAATGATATTGTAATTGCTTGTAATACACCGTCGTTGATTGGACCAAGTTGATCAGTCTCTGTTGGCGTATGGGGCTTCTGTATGGATGCCTCGAAATCACCTGTGTTTCAATTATGCATAGTAATGATGGACAGTGGCTAGCAGTAGAATCCAAGATGTGCATTTCGTTCTATTTGGGACTCATCAGTCAGCTGGATATACCTACCTCCGAGTGAGTGATGTTGTTCCCACCAGGATTTGGACTCGTCCCAAACAGGACGAAATGCGCATCTTGGATTCTACTGCTAGCCACTGTCCATCATTACTATACATAATTGAAACACAGGCGATTTCGAGGCATCCACATAGAACTCTCATATGCCAACAGAGACTGATCAATTCGGTCCAATCAACGACGATATAATACAAGCGATAACACTAAAACTATACCCGTCGCACAAGAAGTGGCTTGATGGTGTGGTGGATAGCGCTCTCGCGTTTGAAGCGATAGCTTCCGAGTCCGAATCTCAGTGGGAACAACATCACTCACTGGGAGGTGGGTATATCCAGCTGACGAGACGCAAATAGAATGATTTGCGAGTCCTAGATTCCACTGCTAACCACTGCCCATTATTAATATACATAATTGATATTATTACTGTTATTATCATTATTATTACGATTATATTATCATTGTAATCATTATCACATTGTTGTCGCCAAGGGACAAATAATAATATATAATGATAATAATACAGTAATCTAATAAAATTAGTAGTCATGATAACAACAGTAATATTAGTGATAATGACAACAATAAAAACGTAAAACCATGGTGTTGATTTTAATAATAATGACAATGATAGTGTTATAATAATGTAATCATAATAATATTTTGATGACAGCAATGATAATCAAAACAATAATATAATAATATATGGTAACAATGATAGTACAAAATGTGATCGTAACAATAACAATGTGATTATATTAGCACTGTAATGGCAATAATAATAACAATATTACTATTGTACAAAAATATGAACCATGAAATCTTAATGAAAATAATAATATAACCATAATGACGTCCAGCCAGAATGGTAATAAAAGTAACAATATTTCAAGCTGTTATTCATCGAAGACTGACATCAGTTGGAGGAACAAAGGAAACCTGGGAGCACTGGACAGCTGTTTCGTCCAACTAGTATGGGACTCCTCAGCAGTGCGCACCCACGACCCCACCAGCAGGGATCGAACCCGCGACCTTCAGGTTCCGTGGCCAGCGCGTTACCATTGAGCTAGCCACTGGGTCAGAATCCAATGCTCCATATTTCCAACTTCTGTTAGCTCACGATATAGCGCAAACCGCCACCCAATGTCGTCGTTGAGTATTTGTCCTCACGGCCATTAGGCTTTGGCTCCAGCGGTCACGACTTGTCATTGGAACTTCGGGAATACTTCTCGAAGCTAGTCACCAACTAGCACTAGTTCAATTAAATTTTGAGGGGGTTGTGGAGATTTGAAAATATTTCAAGTTGTTATTCATCGAAGACTGACATCAGGTGGAGGAACAAAGGAAACCTGGGAGCACTGGACAGCTGTTTCGTCCTAGTATGGGACTCCTCAGCAGTGAGCACACACGACCCCACCAGCAGGGATCTAACCCGCGAAACAGCTGTCCAGTGCTCCCAGGTTTCCTTTGTTCCTCCAACTGATGTCAGTCTTCGATGAATAACAACTTGAAATATTTCCAAATCTCCACAACACCCTCAAAATTTAAAAGTAACAATAGTAGCGATGATTCTTTAACTACACAAATACAGTAATAACAGTAGTAATGGCAGTAATAATGATAACGATAATCACACAATAATAATAATAATAATAATAATAACGTAATGAAAATAACAATGATAATACAATGATGATGAAATAATGGAATTATTATGATGTTGTAATAATAATAGTATGACGATAATACCAATAACAATCGCAATATAATGCTGACGCAATCATGGAATTATTATAATGACAATCATAACGGTTACCTTAACAACATAACATTTTGATGATGGTAATGATAATAATAACAATAGTAGTAATATTACGACAATCCAACTGAATGGATATAAACAACAGGTGAGATATATATATACACCCTTGAGGGGGTACCTACATCCTTTAAGTAACTCAACAACCGCACGGATATCTGTAGGCATTAGGAATAACATCATACCCTACTAACCAAATGCCTAGACCGTGATAGAGTGTTAGTCACTGCTTATGAAACTGTTAAATACAATCACTAGAAGGTATAATGAACTAAATGACAATCTTCTGTACAAACGAAGGCAATCCATGCGTTATCCAACTGCTCTGATGGACCCTCAACGATGTAGTTCACTGACGAAGAGGCAGAAAATGAATAAGGAGAATTACCTATGTTGAATTGCACAGCAAAACAAAGGACAGATAATGGTTTGAATACTATCGTCTACAGGGAAACCGACACATTCCAACAGGTATCTAGACTTCAAGTCACCGGATATAATGTCAATTAAGGTGGAGCTAGAAAACTCACTTAATCAGTGCGATAACCTTAACAAAGAACTGAGACACAAAAGAAACGTTGATAATTAATAAAAAAAATCCCCTATAGTTTATTAAGAAATTCCTTCGAAAACATAAGAAACGAATACGAATACAACACGAAAAAAAAGGCGTTCACAACCTCCATTGCGTTACCCTATGAGGAAGGAACATCAGAAACTTTCTGTAGGATCGTCAACAAATCTGGAATTAAGGTGGCCTTCAAAATACAAACTCACTCAGAGATAAGCTTTGCAGGCACTAATGGGAACAGTAGTCTGGAAAAGAACTCGGCTCAGTTATCCAATGCATACATTCACACCCAACCACATAATCTAGGGTGAGTTAAAACCATTGCACAAATCCAATATAGTCAGGTAGAGAGAAAGACTACTGAATCTTTGTTCACTGAATCAACACCCAACACATATAACAAGAATGAGGCAACACGTATACCACAGATATGAAAAATCTTACTGCTACTTAAAACAAAGAATATAAAGTGATGGGACTATAAAAATCAGATGTCGAAAGTTGTAGGATTATACATTGATGTGAGTATGAGGCATAATTTATGATCGGAACGACATCAAGGAAATAATAGTGTATCACTCGTTGTGTGCTGGCTATATAAAATAAACAAATCGAATATGGAATGTTCCCATACAACCACAATGCCCAAGTTTAACACTTTTATCAATAGGTATTTGTCACGATTTACGCAAATGGTAGATAAACCTTCAGTAAAAGTATTAGACTAGAACACGTTTTCACTACTTCTAAATGAGTTCATACATCGACAAAGAGAGATGGAGAGAGATAAATAACACAGGAACTAGTTGGAGAGACATTAGAAACCTGGGAGCACTGTACAGCTGTTTCGTCCTAGTATGGGA